CGCCATTTCTTTTCCAAAGCATATTGGCTGGCCACAAGTCTCCGTGACACAAAACACGCTGCATTCCTTTAAATTAATAATTCAATAAAAATTAACTCAAATTTCTCCTGTTACATACGAGTAGTGGATAGCAGCCTGCAATATGAAAGTAGTCTCACCCATTTCATCAGCCAGCTGGTCTGCCCACTCAAAATCTGTAAGTTTGGGGAGAATCTGTTTTAATTCTTCAATATCTGCTGCCATATCTCCATTTGCCATATCTTCAACTTTAGAAGCGAAACCACGTAATAGTCCCATCATGATTTCCACCACCTTAAATCTTATTTTCAGGTTTTTACGCTGCTCCCACCACTACATATGTTTTGGTGATATACCTCACTTTACCTCTTTGCTGAAGATTTCCGCGTAAAGTTGAGAAAAAGGTTGTTTTGTAAATTTTGATTTTTCTTCCTCTGTAAGCTCAAGAGATGCTCCTTGCAGTACAGCCATAGCTCGGAGTACCTTGGGCGCACGTTGAGCGTAAATTCAGAATTTTCCTAATTGTACATGCTGTACCTTGCTGAGAGCCTTTGGAGATACGTTCTCATAAATTCCTACGGAATCTGAATCTTCCAAAAACTCCATGATTATATAGCCCTTGACGAGGTTGCAATCGGAGAATTCCTTCGCGCAGTAGACCTGAATGGATTAGGCATAATCGTTATTCTTATATGCATGCAAATCCAGGCTTGAAACACATTTTGGAGTGAAATAGTGGTCTTTGACTTTGCAACAATAAAGCAAAAATTTCAGCGTGTCCTAAAGCAAATTGGCTGCAAATCCTGCGTATCAAAATAATTGAAAATTATTGTTGCACAGTTTCATGGTGGCATTGCCTTGAAGAAATTTTTGAAGATTTCAAAATTCTGAGTTTTCAAAGAGCTGAGCTTGCTATTCTGACCGCTAACGACAACGCAAAATAATAAAAGCCTACTGTTCTTTTTTCAAGATGCGCTCTTCAACGTTACGTTGTAGAATCTGGAAGGCGACGGAAAGGGAAGCGAGGATTAAG